CAAAAAAAAAAAAAAAAAAAAAAAAATTATTAAAAATAAAACTTTATATGGAAACAGAATTTCCATATAAATGGCAATACTGTAACAAACTGTAGTGTTTTCAGTGTTTTCTCCTCTTCATGTCATTACTTTATAGTGTCTCACCAGGAGCATACTATATTTTAATGTTTAAAATTTCCATTGCACTTTTTGTTCAACAGATCTCATATCTAGCTAAACATAACTCATCACTGAAATAAAAATGAAAATGCTGCAGCAACCCAGCTTGTGTGATTTCATTGATCATCGGAAATAAAACACTAGCACACTGTTAATACATGCTGTAAGTTTTCCTATAAAAATTAAAGTAAAATGAAATAGTGTAAGAAAGGGGGAAAATAAAAAAGTAGTATCCTTCATTTCCTACACAATGTAAAAAAAATGTAACGTTCCTTGTTAATCAGCTTATTCCTTCATATATACACACACAATTGCAGCACTAAAGATTAATGGCCTAAACTCAAATAGAAATTAAATCCTAAATTTAATACAAAAGGAGTGTGAGGATGTCACACAGTTATATTAACGTCTGGTCAAGGCAAAGTGAGTAAAGGCATGTCATTAATGCAAACAAAAAGGACGTGTAACCATAAACCGTCAACTGACAGTCTGAAAACATCTTTAGTCTGAATGAATATGTATAAAAATAAGCCAATGGCTCACCATGAAACAGACCTATTGACTAGATTCAAATCTGCTATATTACAGGAAGCATCGACCAATCACAGCCATGACAAAATACCAGTAACAAAAGCACTACAACTACTTTTTTTTTTTTTTACAACATCTGTGCCCATTTTTTGCAGACAATCAATGTTTTGCACATTTAAGCGGACATGTTGCACCATTTCTTGGTTTGGATGGCAGTTCAGATTGTCACATGAGGATATAAAGCACATTGATTCAGCTGCAAAGACAACTTTTTCACCAGTCGATATGTCATGCCATAGTCGTCAGCTTGTCCAGCTGATTTCAGTAGTGTATATAGGACAAAAAATGCAGCAACAAAGCATGGAGATACGAGTAGTGCATTGCATAAAGGTTGCTGCTTTAAGTCAATATGGAGCTTTTTAGGAGTGATAAACAAGTAAACGACACCTAATAATTAATTACAGTATATGTACAAATCACATTTCCTATGATTCACCTTATTCCTCTCTTATAATTAATACATCCCTTTTGTAACCCTCAACAGAGCAAACCAAAAAATTGTCATCATTTACTCGTTCAAAAACAACGGAACGCAAAAGAAAATATTTTGAAAAATGTTTCTGTGTTTTTTCATCTATACAATGAAAGTCAATGGGGTCCAAAATTGTTTGGTAAAAAGTCAGTGGAGTTCCAATGTCATTTGGTTTTGGAACCCATTGACTTTCTTTGTATGGACAAAAACAGTTCTTCAAAAAAAAAATCTTCTTGTGTGTTGCGCAGAAGAAAGTCATGTTTGGAACAACATGAGGGTGAGTAAACGATGACAATTTTCATTTTTTGGGTGGACTGTCCCTTTAACATCTCTGCAACTTCCTTTGTCCTTCCTGTTCTCTCTCATGATTGTTTTTTCCTTTTCAATCTATTTCTCAGTACGTTCTCTTCACATGGCCATGGTGGTTAGATGCTGATGGCCCAGCAAGCCTTTTCGGCCGCCCCCGGCGCCGGGATGCGTTCCCGCTCCTCCATGTCCACAGTACTCCTGCAAATTCTGCCGCAAAGTGACAAGCGCCGAACCCAAGCAGGCCCGGTTGGGTGCAAGGATACCTCCTGGCAGCTGTATGAGTACGGTAGCCACCCCTGCCATCCCGTCATCTGTGGGCTCCAGAGTGATTGGCCCAACTTTGAAGGACGAATACGAAAAGCCCATGAGCTGGGACAGGAAGGGGTCGGAGCGGCAGAAATGCTGGTAGCTGCCATGTGAGGACGGATGATGGTGGTGGTGATGCGAGGTCGGGTTTGCCGTAGAGCTGGGTGCATAGTGATGAGCGTTCAGGTAGTGTAGGGGAAGGTGCTGCCCGTTGTTGCCTCCACTCATAACGAGATGGTGGTGGTGGTGAGTGACAGTGCCTGTGCCAGGGTCGTGTTTGTAGGACAGAGCTCCAGGTCGTCCCCTCTGGCCCATCACCATGCCACCAAGCTTGCCTGTCCGTACGTGGGCCAGGGACACGGTGCTGCCCCCTCCAGCCGAGGGCAAGTAAACCAGCTGCGGCTCATCTGGCTCTAGGTAGACGGTGAGTTTAGCGAACGGACGAGAGGCCATCTTGGTCATCTCTTGAATGTGGCGCCGCTGCTCGCGGCGGAAGTCTAAGAACTGCTTGACTTTCCAGAGCAGCACACAGACGGACAGGAAGAGGAAGAAGCAGGAGAAGAAAACGGAGAAAAAGACAAAGAGGTCAATGTGGGCCTGGTCCTGTCGGAGAAAGAGGAGGCCTTGGGACTCTCCGTTATGAGTATCCGTGCCCACACCACGCAGGGCGATATAGAAGCGGCTGGACTTGAGCGAGTGCACTTCGTGTGGGAAGGTGATGACCACACGGTCTCGTACGCCACGTACAATCAACACCGTCTGTGGCTTCCACACAGTGATGTAGGTTATGAGACCTTCGGTTCGTTCTTCCCGTATCTCACGTTCTGTCCCGTGCGACTTTGCGGACTGCAGCATGCCGAGTAATGCTGATGAGGAGTTCGCAAACACCTTCATGGGTGACGGTAGTGCGAGAGGAACCTCCTTTTCTCCGCGTGAAGTGGTCGCAGAGGTGGCCTCGTCCTCGATCTTGATGGTATGCACACCGGTCTGGCGGTCGACCTCTACAATGAAGGTGTCATGCGAATTGGACACAAAGACCTCAACCTCTCCAAACGTAACGTCAATGGTGACGCGGATATCCACGTTAGTGAACTTGGGCTGGGCCGAAAAAAACACTGTGCGGCCCCTAAGCAGATTGCGGATGTTAGGCTCATGGAAGCAGTTGACCTGTGATGTGGGGTCGAAGCAGCATTCATTGTCCACATTGAACTGCCGGTAGCACTGCCGCCCATTAACCGGATTGCCGTTGAATGAGTCTTTGCATTTCGCACACTGTAAGAAGAATAAACAGGATTTCATACAATGTCTTATTTGTGAAATATGGAGAGTAATGTCATTGATTGTAATGAACTGGCCGTTACCTGCTGTCTGTAACACTCTTTGCGGTCATTCTGTGGGCTGCTCAGACAGGATGAGGTTTCAGTGTTGTTCTGGCAGGGGCAGCCAGTGCCATCATGTTCATTACACGTGTCTGCATGGCCATTACACTGACATCTACAAACAAACAATAGGAAGGAATGGAAATACTGATGTTAGGTCCAGAAACATTATATTGTTTTACAGTCATGTGAAAACCTTTGAGATGGAGATATTTTCCTATCTCTAACATGCTTGTGAGGAACTTTTGACAGTCCAATTTTATAATATATTGCACCTCAGAAGAATAAAAGTGGCAAACACCTAATGAAATATTGGAGCACAATTATAGACAACGCAAATTTTCTGATACACTTACTTCTCACACTTCCCTTGCAGCAAGAAGTAGCCACTGAGGCAGCTCTCACACTTATCCCCCACACTGTTGTTCTGACAGCTCACACACACAGCATTGTCCTCAGTAGGGCCTTCTTTTGCCCATTGTTCAATCTGAGAAGCAAAAGCATATAAAGAATGGCTCAGGCCCTGCATCAAGACTTCATATACCGAATACAGAAAGCAAAGACGATTTCCAAAAATTGCTTACACTCTCACGGTCCAGTGGATAGTCTTTTGGATTTTCCATTGCCCTCCGATGCTCCTCTTTGGACAGACATATATCGCCGTTTCCTCTGCAGAATTCACGACAGGGGCGACACATCCCACCTCCCACTGCTGAGCCCACAAACAAGGGCTTGCACTTTTCACAGTGCTGACCCTAAAATAAGAAAGAGATAGAGGTGACCTATTGTCTAATAATATCACAAATATAGTATTACTGCTGTCTTCTTTTGAAGGAAATACTTTTCTGCAAGGACACATTAAATCCGTTAAATTTATCAAAAGTTACAGTAAATATTTTTATAATGTTACATAAGATCTCTTCTTTCAAATGAATGCTGTTAGAACACTTTTCATCAAGGAATCCCTACAAAAATTATCACAGTTTCCGAAAAGTATTAGCAGCACCACTTTTCAACTGTGATAATAATAAGAAATGTTGCTTGAGCATCAAATCAGCATATTAGAATGATTTCTGAAGGATCATGAGACAATGAAGACTGGAGTAATGGCTACTAAAGTAATGGCTTACCACCACAGGCAAAAACGGTAAACAGTATTTTAAATTTGTAATGTTTCCCAATATTACTGTATTTACTGCTTTTTTATTACATAAATTCAGCATTGTTGAGCATAAGAGACTTAAAAAAACAACAACTTCTAAACGGTAGGCAATATATGAGGATATTTTCATGTTATTGATATTTTCAATAACAATATACAATAAAACGCTTCAGTACCTTTGTGTTATTCTTGCACTCTAGACAGGTGTCCAGCTGAGAGATGCTTTTACAGTTACTGTGTTTATTACAGCGGCACTGTGAGGAGCAGTTCTCTCCAACAAACCCAAAGTGACACTGACAGACTCCTGGGGACACACAGGTCCCATTAACACAGCCTTGAGCGCACACTGGCTCACACTGGCCCGACACACTGAAAAAGAGAGTGAGAGAAGAAAATATATATGAACTACTCAACCGTGGGAAAGTCAGTGATATTGCTTGAGAATGAAAGCTGTTAAATATACCTGCCGAGTACGTAGCCCTGTCTGCAGGTGCAGTGGTAGCCTTCAGGCAGATCATGGCAGTCCTGAGTGATGTTACAGTGGTGGTGTCCATTGGCACACTCGTCCTCCTCTGGGCAATGCAGGAAGGACCAGCTACTGTTCCACTGTGGGCAAAAAGCCTCACTCACACCTGCAGTAAGTAGAGAGTAGAAAGACAATTAAGTTTTAATCCCATAAAAAAAATTAAAAAAAAGATAAATGTGTGTGAAATGTGTGGGGCCTAATAGCTCACAAGTGGACTGTCTGTATGTTAGATCTCAAAAGTCGTGTTCTGGAAGTAAAAAATCCCATTCATTTTGTTTTGCAATTTTTCAATGAATTCCCATTAAATATATATATATATATATTTTTTTTTTTTTACAATAACTTGCAAACCGGTAAAGACAGACCAGTATACTATGAGATAGAAGGTTGTTAATCAACGGCTTTTTCAAATCGTTTGAAAAATCAAGTTTAACAGTGGAATTCTTGGTGAAAAAAATACATTACCCATGATTCTGCAAGAACTTACAAATATTATAGAGACTACACAATTATATAAATATATTTATTGCAAAATATGCACATATACATACATGCAAAATAT